GGTGATTGAGAAAGAGGAGACAGTATCAAGATGAGGTGCCTCATAACATCAAGCGCGACGCCACCGAATTTGCAACACTTATACAAGTAGACATAAGGCATCTACAATCTACAGCACACCCACCGCATCCGCAACACTCGTACTAGCAGACAGAAGGCGTATATAGGCTCTCAAATGAAATGTTATGCATTCAACTGACAATTATCCGCACAACCAAAATATGATAAAATACCCCTGCACGTGCACTATAAATTGTATACACATAGTGATACATTCAAAAAAATCTACGGGAGCGGGACCCAGAATCTTTGATCACAAAACAGAAACACTAAGTAATAAAAGAACAAACTCTTACATTTCATATAAAACGAACACTTAAAAACATAATATTAAAAGGCACTTATATATAAAGACTCTTACAATCGACTCAAATAAAAAACACCTAAACTTGCTTTCCAAGAGACGAAGGATATAGATGGCGTCGATACTTGCGGAGAGACGAAAGGGTTAGAAGCCGAGAAGAAGGGTGGAAAGAACTCGCAAGTCTCCCCAATAGAAAGAAGAAGTGGAACAAGCTCTCAAGCTCTTCCAAGAAAATCACTAAGATTTCTTTCCAAAAATTATCTTATATCATTCCTAAAATAGCCACAAAACATCTTCTATATATAGACAAGGGAGGGGAATACAAATAGCCCCAAAAAAATCAAAAGCCAACAGTCAACTTCAAGAAACGAAGCACCAAAGCCATGGAAAAACCCCCAAAAAGTCACGGGAGAACAGCCCAGGCGGAACCCGAAGAGGCAGCCGCAAGAACCATGGAGGCCCGCACGGAACCGAAGCACCAAGGCACGGGAAAGGCCACCCAGCACGGACAACCAGCAGCCAACCGGGGAAACCAAAGAGCCAAGGTACGGAAAACAGCCCAACACAGGAAACCCAAAAGCCAAAGCATGGAAGAGGAAAAGGGGGAAAAGGAAGAGTCAAGTTCACTAATAAATGAACTAAAAAACATAGCTCATAATGAGCTAACTCTTAGTTCAATAAATGAACTAAAAATCAGCTCATAATGAGCTAAATCTTAGCTAAAAAATTAATGAGCTAGCAAGCTCAAGGGAAGTCAAAACCATTTTTTTTGTTTGATTTGCCTACATCACATAGGTACACTAAAGGGGAAAATACAATCTCGACCCGTATGGGCCCCGGCGAGCGTGTTATTGGTACACGCATGACGTCTAGGGATGCTGCGCGGGTTGATAAGTGAATTCAAGTTCAAACCCGATCCTTCTATACGGGTCAATAAAAGTCGACACGGTTCGAACCAACAAACAAGTATACGGTCGCGACGGCTAGTATATTTGTTGTATTGCATTCATATTAGGCCGTCAAGGCCTATAACAATAAGAATTCGCTAACAAAGGCACGAAGCCTACGAAACCCGATCCTCCTAAGCAGATAAATAGGAGTAGACAGGGTTTGAGCCATAAGATAAATATGCGGTCATGATATCGACCATGATGGTCTAGGACGACGGAACTATGGGATCTTGATCGGGTCTATCATCCATTCCCCCACCATCCGCTTTAAGTGCAAGATGATAAAATTTCCAATTTTAAATATCAAGCCCTTTTCAAATTTTCAAATCCAAACCCAAATCCCATATCAAAACTTATTGCTACTATTATATGTCAGATAACACGTATCTCTACATATCTGATTGACGACTAGCCTTAATCGAAAGTTCTCTCTCATGATCGAGAGGGGTAATTAACTATAGGTGCTTGCGCCTATAGGAAACCAGAACTCATATCATAAAGTCCTCACAAAATGAGGGAAAAATTTATGGGTAGTGTCTTATCTACAAACTCATCTGCCTTCCAAAATTTACCCAGGAACATATCCGTTAAAACTCCATCGCCAAAGAAGAAAAGCAAAAAACAATCATCAGTGCGGCGGGGAGGCCGGGGCTAAATTTTCGGAGCCCACATTTTGTTTACTTGTTTGCAGGTGTTTATACCTAAGAGTTGCAGAAGCTAGAGCTTGAAGCTGCAGGGTCTTTTAGGAGAAAGAGCTTGCAAGGAGCTGGAGCTTACCATGAGCTTCTTAGATTTGTTTGGGGTTTCTTTTGAAGTTTTCTTTCTGTTTTCTATTTACTTAGTTTTAGGAGTTTGGTGTTAGTGTACGTTGTATTAAGGTTTGCATAGTGGAAAACATTATTTTTTGTCTTTTTATTAATTAATTGAAAATGCAAAACTTCACCCGCTTGACTCTCGCCTCACTGCATTTATATTTGCATTTTTGAAAATTTTTTGGTTAATTAAGCTAATTTAAAGTTTTAATTTTAAAATTAAATCTTTATGTTTATTACTCAATTAATTAAAATTTAATTAGAAGTTGAATTGATTTCTTAAATTAGTTAAAATGGCTAATCAATTGTTAAATTAATTAAAAGATTTAATTTTAATTAGGTATTTAATTAATCACAGTTTAACTTTATTTTAATTAATTAGTAAATTAAATTAAATATTTTGAATTAATGCTCAATTAGATTTTAGCTTAATCAAATATTCAATTAATTAAACTATAGCTTACAGTTGAATTTTATTTTTTTTCATTCTCTTAATTATTTATTTATTTAGGCTAATTTATTTAAAGTTTTAAATTATAAATTTAATAGATTATTTAATTGAAATTTTTTAAATTGAGATTAAATTTTAGTTTAATTGAATTTTAAATTAAAATTTTAACTGAAGCTCTCAGATTGCTATTTATTACTATTAATTATAATAATAATAATGAAATAAAATAAACCTCTCTTCTTCCTCACGATTTCAAGAAAGCCAGAAGTCTTGTTCGCGTAGGAGGACCAGGCATGTGTGCAGGATCGGACAGGGCGAGCCACTCACGCATACAAAAATGCGGTAGTTTGCACACGAAAGCTTGCGGTCGATTGGGTCGGAGTCGCGCATAGAGGGGCGTCGAGCCTGGACGCGAGTTGAGAACTAGTCGTGGTCGGGAAGGTCATTGGAGGCGAGGTAGCACTCAAAAGCGGATGGACCCCTAGGGGTTTGGATGGTGCAGGTAGGCTATTCAGTCAGGGTCGTCTGCATTGGTTGCTTCAGTAACATGTGAGGGAGGCCAACAGAAATTCAACAAGAAGAAGGTTCGGGCGGCCTAACATTGCGCGGTTCACATACAGATCGCTGGAGGTTAAGCTCGATCAGCAACGGCGCATGAGGTTGAGTCATGTGCGGGCACCAGAGGTAAAGGGGTCGGACGGGAGCTACTGGGGTCGCAACACATCCAATCGTCCGTGCATATTTTTGGAGGCGAACAAGCACGAGCCTCGTTCATGGGCTGTTGGGAGGCCGATCGACAGGAACTTTCTCTCGATTGTGAAAGTGCTAAGTGAGCGTAAGTTTCTTTCACTCATTGTTTTTCCTTTTCTTTTATTTGTGATCGCGCAATTATTTTAGACACGATCTTGGACGTGTGGAAGAGTGCCAACGTATTGCGGTTAGCACTTTTTTTTCATTTTATTTGATTTTCAACACTAAAGAGGCTATAATTTAATTTTTATTCAATTATTTGAAAATGAAATTATCACTTTTGAAAAAATTTTAAGAAAACTTGCAGTATTTAAAATTAATGTTGGTTCAAAATGCATTCAAACAAATGATGGAAATGACAAACATTACTGTTTTTTAAGATATGTTTTCAAAGTTAAAACAACCAAATGAACTTTAAGTTAGATATATTAGAACCAAATAGTAAAAACTAATCCCAAGAGAGAAATTAACCTCCTAAAGAACCTCGATAAGGAACTTAAACATTTTTATACTACCGTAATCATTTCACGTCATAAGCTTTTATGTCCTCATTGTGATGGATCCTTCAGATGGACCAATTTCCTTGATCATTAAAGAATAAATCATATGCATCCTAGAAAAAAACTAACATATGAACAGATGTTTAAAAAACAAGTATCAAAATGTTACTTGTGCTTTAGAATCAATATTTTTTGAATCTAGATTTTATCATCACATAGCAGTATATTTTAGCAGTGCATAAGCTAAAAGATGATAAAGGCTTTAAACGGAGCAATTATCAGCAAATTATATGAAAAAGTTAAAAATAGCCCCCCAATTATAATAAGTGCCTAATTTAGTCGCAGAGTTATGCACTATCCTAATTTAATCCCTCGACTACTGAAAATTGATTAAATTTGATTCTATCATTTACAAAACTGTCATATTTAACAGAAAATGCAACAATTCATAATTTAAGGGAAGCATTTTAGTAAAAACATTATAATTTTATTTTATTTTTTACAATGCTACTTATTGTTTAAGTTCTCGTGCGAGTGTAAGATATATGCTGAGGAGCAACGAGGGATTGAGAAGTTTGAACTGCAAGCGCAAAAGCATTCAAGTAGCTTGGGATGATCTCCAACAAGCTGCATGCAAGCGACTAGGGCTTAAGACTGTGCATGCGAGCGGTAAAGCAAATATAATGTAAGGAGGATATTTAATTATTTTTCAAATTTTCGGTGGTTATACAATAGACAGTTTTTTTTTTTTTTTTACAATAGACAGTTAAATATTGAAAAAGATAAATAATAATTACCAATATAATTTATGGCATAATAACTTATTAGCATGAAACTCATAAATATTTCTTTTACTAATTATCCACTCTTATTATTTAGCATGTTAACTTTCACTAATGTTTTTTGTATTTGTTAGAATTTATTAGGTGATAAACTAGAGCAACATAAGAAATACAATCTCACATACACTTGCCCTACTTAAAATATCCTCGCATTTAATTTTTGTGTTAAATTTAACTGTTATTTTTGTCACTCGAACCAAATTGCATCAATTTTTAATAATTGAGATACTAAATTGGGACAATGCAAAACTCTAAGACAAAGTTGTGCACTTAACTCATAGTCGGGAGACTATTTTGAACTTTCTCTTGCAAGTTAATCTATTTTAGTTTACCTCAATAATTTTGCATGCTCTTCAGAAGCTTTTGATTCAAAGTTATGTTCTTTAGTCTCAGAAAAAAGCTTCTGTGCCTGCTCAATTAGCCTAATTCTTGGACCATGGAGTGGAGATCCTTTGCTAGCCATAGGATTCTTTTCAAAATCCCATGACTCTTTCAACAAAAGAAAGGCAACATCCTGCATAGACAGATCATTGAATTAATTTTCAAGAAAAGGCACACTTCAAATATAGACCACAATACAGTGCACCCTCGTAGCAAATAAGAAATATAAATAAGCCTCTTCATAAACATTATCTGAGCTCTCAACAACTAATTTTTCATTTATCATACACAATATTGCATTTAAGTTTAAAACCTATTATTATTTAAGTGGATTATAGCAATGATGCAGCATAAAATAAACAATGATTAATCAACAACAAGGTGCATAATTTAATCATACGACTGTTTACAAAACGTCAAGTACAGAAATATAAACTGCAACAAGAATTCACAATATGCTTGAAGAATTTTGTGACATTAATCCTGTTGGATGCACCAAGCCATTTGATTCTAAGCCACATCGTAATTTAGCATGAAATCTAAGCTTGCTAATCTCCTTATCAGGGAAAGAAAGAAAACTTAATACTTACTGAAATAATCATCATATCAATCTCATCCTATCTAGTTGGGGTAGGGCCTTTTCAAAGTTATTCACAATTCTTTCTAATTTAAAGCTACATTTGGTGATCATTAAGATTATTCTGAAAAAATATTTTTTCTTCCGATGACCTCATCCAACTTTTAAGGCAGCGGAACTCAAATTTGTTAAATTTAATATAATTCTTAAACCTACTTTATATTAAATTATCCTCAACGTGCTCACGCCATTTTCTCTCCTTCGATTGGTAGTGAAAAGGAGGTGCCATGAGTGAAGAACACAAAAGCGATGCAAAAAAAAAAAATAAAAAATTGAATCGGGTCTTGCAGCAAAGGAATTCTAGCTATCTTACTGTACATAATTACTGCAGCGATCCTACAGTAGTGAATTTCCGGCATAAGGTACTGTAGTAACCGAAAAAGTAAAAGGAAAAAGCAAAGAAAGTAAAAGAAAAAAAAGGAGAAGAGAGAGAAAGAAAAGTAAAGAGACAGATGCAGAAAGAAAGAGTATGAAAATTCTATCATGTTTGATTTGTGTTGTGGGAATAAGAAACTTGAATAAGGAGAAATTTAATTGAGGTAAAATCTTATTTTTGAGATTTTGTTGTAAATTGAATTTCTAAATTATGGACAATTATTATTTATGAAAATCATAATTTACTTTTAAGTTTTTATAAAAGTAAAAGAAGACGGGCATCGTAAGGGATCACATCCATCAAACTAACTCAGAAAATGAGGTGAGATACTCAATATCTAGTACAGAAAGCGTCAAATTTTTAAATCTAAATTTTATAACATTTCTTAATCAAAAGATGAAAATACCGGCAATAATAGAAGTTCCAATTTTATGATCACTTGTTCATAATGAATTTATTTTGCATATATAATGTTTTGGATTCTTGATTATTGTGTATTGACAAATGCTATGATAGTTTGGTGAGCTATTATGTGCATTATAAGGCATTGTTCTTTGCCTGTAGGCGGATTAATATGTGCATCGAAAGTCCATTATCCTTGTTCGTAGGTGGGCAACAACATTTCGATAGGAAACACTTGTAGATCTTAAGTATTTCCTATCAATCTTCGGAAAAGAGCGAGAATTCTTCACAAAAGACCGCACAAAACAACGAAAACAGAAGATAATTTGTATTATTTGATGAAAGGAAAATGAAAAATAGCAAGATACAATTGATCCTCCATTCAAGAGGAGGATCGATCTCTCCCAAACATGTAGACACCGCTAGAGCCCAAAGAAAAACCTAAATCTAAGAGATATCAAATTTCATCCAAATTCAAGATGCCTTAACCCTAGGAAAACAAAGTATTTAATACATACAAATCAAAAAGAAATTTCTAAAGTCCCTACATTCAAATTTCCCTCCCAAAACCCTCAAAAATCCTTCCTAACATGCTTTGTTTGCTTCGGCAGCACACGCGGCATCCGCAACCTGTGAAAGAATGCCGTTGTTTCGCCCGTAAGCCGGTCCCGCCTGGACCAGCCCAATGGACCGGTCTAACAATACTCCTCTCCCAAAGATCCACTTTGTCCTCAAGGTGAAAATAAGCTCATGTTCCCGTGGAGGTGGTCATCCTTGAGGTGGTTGAAAATCCTTACCAAATTGTTGAATCAAGGGTTGCACTGAAAGAGAAACATTCCCTCCCTCCATCCTGATCACATCCAGCTTGTGTAGTCCCACCAAATAATCTTCCCCCACCTCTTGTAGGCTCCTAACCGTGGTCTTAAGTGATATCATGGCTTTGGATAGCCCTGCATCTCCCCTTACAGCCACCTTTCTCCCATCCACCATTAATAAAATCGTGAGTGCTTCCCAATTGTCCTTGATTTTCCCCAAGATTTGCAACCACTTCATCCCCATGATGACATTAGTACTTCCTAACTCTAGTGGGAGAAAATTCTCCCTTACCTGAATCCCCTGGATGGTCAAAATCACTCTACATATCCTCTAGCCTTTCGCCATCTTCCCTGTACCCATCATCACCCCATAATAACTGGTGTCCACCAATTTCACTCTCAGTTGGTTGACGACCTGAGTGGAAATGAAATTATGGGTAGCACCACTATCAATCAAAACTATCACCTCCATGCCTGCTATTGCCCCCTTCACCTTCATCGTATGATTCGAAGTGAATCATACTATAGAATTCAGGGAAACCTCGGCTAGATCCAAATGCAACTTCTCCTCCATCTCTTCTTCTAATTCTTCCTCACCTCCCTTCTCAATTTCCTCATCATCGCAGACGGTGAGAACATGAAGAGTTCGGTCCTTGCACCGATCTCTTGGTGTATACTTCTCCTCGCACCTGAACACAACTCTTTTGGCCTCTTCTCCTGCATCTCCTTCTCTGTCAGCCTCTTGAAATTTTCCCCACTCCCTTCTGGCTTCTCCATGGTGGTCTCATTAATGTTGTCTGATGCATGCACCTTAGGTGCTAGAAGAGTGATTGTCGTCCTGTAAAAGCCTCCTGAGCTGCTGCTCCTGGCTCCCTTCTCTAGATTATTCTGATTTTCCACCAACTGGGTCAACTTCATGGCCTCCCCCAAGTCACGAGGAATGAGAACCTTCATTGCTACTCATATCTTTTCCTTCAACCCCTTTATGAAATTCTCCTCCAATACTGTATCTGATAATCGCTCCACCTTACTGGCTAGGTGCTCAAATCACTCCCGATAGTCTGCTACCGATCCCTCCTATGTCAGAGCAAAGAACTGTTCATAGAAATCTCCTCCCCAGTTGGTTTGGAAGCATTCTATTATGCAGTCCTTGAATTCACTGCAATTCCAGATAGGTCTCCTCTATTCTCTCCACTGATACCATAATAGACTTCCCTTCAAAGCACAAACCTGCCACTGTCAACTTCTCCTCCTCCGTCAACCCATTGACGGTGAAGTATCTCTCCACCTTATAAATCCACCCAAATACATCCTCCCCCTCGAAGATAGGCACCTTCAACTACCTCATCTTCTGATCTCCTCCGTTTCCCCTCATTCCTCTCTAGTTTCCCCTTTCCCAAGTGTTCGCCCCCCCCCCCCCCAAGTCTCCCGATCTTCCCTTCCATTTTCATACACATAACCTCCTTTGAATTCCCCTATCCTCTCTTCAAAATTAGCCCCTCAGTGGCCATAATTTCTTTCCCTATGTTCCCAATCAGCACCCCATTGCTCCTGCCCTCCATACTCATTACTTTCCCCAAATCTATCTCCTCTATCCTCCCTCTAGAAAGGCTCCATATGGGGTCTTCTCCTTTCTCCCTCTACGATCTCTACCTCCTCTTCATCCTTACGGATTTTAGAATTTGTATTCTGTTATTCTGGCCCTCTTGCCACGAAGCCACCGAATGATTATGGAATTCTAATATCTTCTTCATCATCTCCCATAAGTCCGCAACTTGCCCTTCCATGGAAGAAATTATGTCCTCCACCATGGTTTTGATTTGGTTCATCTCCCCTTAAAGCCTTCTTCAAACGCATCTACTTTCTTGGCCGCCATCTTGATTCGGATTTTTGTAGATCCAAAAATTCTGGATTTGGATTACAAAAACAACTTTCTTCTTTCCCGACCAAAAATCAGCCGCAGAAATTCGCCCAAATCAGCCCACGAACGGTCCCAAGGCTTGCTATGATACCAATTTGATAGGAAACACTTGTAGATTTCAAGTATTTCCTATTAATCTTTGAAAAGCAATGAGAATTCTAAACAAAAGTCCGCACAAACCATGAAAACAACATATACTTTGTATTATTTGATGAATGGAAAATAACAAGATACAATTGAACCTCTATTCGAGAAGAGGATCGATCTCTCCCAAATATCTAGACGCCGCTAGAGCCCAAAGGAAAACCTAAATCTAAGAGATCTCAAATTTCAGCCAAATTCAATATGCCCTAACCATAGAAAAACAAAGTATTTAATGCATACAAATCAAAAGGAAATCACTAAACAGTCCCTAAATTCGAATTTCCCTCCCAAAACCCTAAAAAATCCTTCCTAACATGTTTCGTTTGCTTCGGCGGCTCACGCGGCATCCGCAGCTGCTGCGGAAGAATGTCGTTGTTTCGCCCGTAAGCCGGTCCCACTTGGACCGGCTGGACCGGTCTAGTGGATCGTTCTAACACATTTGTGTTACAAATCTCCTGTTCTTACCCATAACATAGTGTTACGAGTCCCCTACCCATGCCCGTAGGCAAGTTGTCATGTTTGTTACAAGTCCCCTATTATTCCCCATAAAGTTGTTGTGCATACTACAAGTCCCCTGCTTATAAGCAAGCTATTATGCTCATTACAAGTCCCATGCTTATCTTTTAATTTTAAGAGTTTTGTTAGATTTTGTTCCTTGTAAGTGTTCAATTCAAATTTCGATAGCCTCCTAATATCTCCCCGTGTAAAAGAAATTTTAGGTACTAGATCTACCCATCACGCTATAGAAAAGCATGTAAAGGACCTACTCGTTTTGTTGTAAGCATAATGTATGAGCTTTCTCCCATCATGCTAAGAAAAAAGCATGCAGGTGATCTAC